CAACTCTTGGGCTACTCTTTACCAACGAATAGTGGGATTGACCGTCACTTTATATCGCCTCCACGGCTGGAAGGGCGAGCATGTTTGGTGGGAATTTGAACCCGCGACCCACAGATTGCGAGTCGAGCGCCCTAACCACCTGGTCATGCATAAAAGAAAGACCACAACACGTAGTTTTGAGACTAAAAGACCTAGATTTTACACATACAAAAATCATGATGAATGAGGATGCATGTTCGTTTGACATCAATGTTCTTCCCTTTTCTTCAGTATGTTTGTATTTTTGTTAACAAATGTAATAATAAAATATGTTCATTGTGGTAAACGAAATAATAATTTGATCTAAGTAAGAGTTGTTTTTTCTTCCCGATTTGTAAAAAAATCCTTACGTGATAGAAAAAAAAAGAATATTATTTTCGAAATCTGCGTAGCTGAATTATGGAAGATCCATTATTAAAGTTAAAACAACGTTTATGAAGTTTAAATTCACAGGCCTGTGTAATATTAACATAAATTCGCAGGCCTGTGTAATATTAACATTAACACTAATTCGAAGGCCTGTGTTATATTAACATTAACACTAATTCGCAGGCCTGTGTAATATTAACATTAACACTAATTCGCAGGCCTACGTAATATTAACATTAACACCAATTCGAAGGCCTGTGTTATATTAACATTAACACTAATTCGCAGGCCTGTGTAATATTAACATTAACACTAATTCGCAGGCCTGTGTTATATTAACATTAACACTAATTCGCAGGCCTGTGTTATATTAACATTAACACTAATTCGCAAGCCTGTGTAATATTAACATTAACACTTACAACGCTAGAAACTGGGTTTCGATACCAGTCGTGATCAGAGCATAGACAGCCCATTGTGTAGCTTTGTGCATAACTTCAAAGAAAGAAACAGTCGTCAACCAAAAGTTTTCATGGGTTTTAATTTCGTCAACAACAACATGTTCTTGTTAACCCAGGTTGTGTTATTAACTCAAGATTTAACACATTCTGGATTCCCCATGTCTTCTTTCTACTCTGTTTAAAGGTAGAATGTAATCCCATACAGTGATTTCACGGAATGTTTTTTTTTTTTATAAGTTTCTATCATTTGACACAGATGACGGAACAGTGGGGCCTAGCACCGACCATAAATATCGATAGGCTTACAATTTCCTCATCTTGAATCGAGTTTTTGGTCCAAAAATAATGACGAATTATAAACAGCTAAATTAATTTGGTAGATGAGGATAAAGAGAAGTTAAGATAAAAGAGTCTAAGGTATAAAAGAAAATCTCCTGTAAGGTTATCACTAAACTGTATATTTCCACATCTGTTTTTTTGTTGTTGTTGTTATGTGGCCGATTTTAATCATATCTTAGCTCCTACTTTATCAAAATAGGTCTAAACTGCTACTCATAATATAAACATTTTCTTGTAAGGCCTGTACTAGATCACCTCTAGTGTCAGCCTCACACTTCTGATAAACTTGATTCATTTCCAACTTTGCACCCCCTCCCCTCTGCACATTTCGTTTCCAACGCTTAAATAAGGTGAATATAAAAAAAAGGTAAAAATTTGACAGTTATAAAAAAACAAACACCGTGTTTTTAATCATTTTAGGATATTTTTGGTTGCTATTCTTTTTAAATCGTCAACTAAGAGGCAATTAAGTGTGAAAAAAAGTAACAAATATGGCTAGTGTGATTTTTATCTCTATTACTAGGCCTATTTGTTTCACCAGCTTCCGACGATTAATTTTGTTTGTTGTTAAGCACAAAGCTACACAATGGGCTATCTGTGCTGGGCCCACCACGGGTATTGAAGCCCGGTTTTTAGTGTTATAAGCCTTCAGACTTACCACTGAGCCAGTGGGGAGTAATATTAAGAAAAAGTCATTGATTATAAAGTGCAGAACATAGGCTTACACAGTGGCCTAATAAATATCATTGTAAAATAAGGGATGACGTGTTTGAATGATGTATAAGTACTATAAATTAAGCCCAGGGTTAATAGAACATCAAAGATTGTGACTGT